ATTGTATTGTATTGTATTGTATTGTACTGTATTGTATTGTATTGTATTGTATTGTATTGTACTGTACTGTACTGTATTGTGCTGTATTGTATTGTATTGTATTGTATTGTATTGTATTGTATTGTATTGTATTGTACTGTATTGTATTGTATTGTATTGTATTGTAATTTGTATTTATTCTCTTTTGGGGGCAAAATAACGTCCAAAACAACTTGCCTCTGACTAACATGGGTACATTAATGTTTAAGTATTCCTTATTATACAATGTTGCTTGTTTTTAAATGACTAAGTCAGCTAGAAGTCATCCACCCATCTCTCTCTCTCTAGCCATGTTTCCATGCAGGATCCATTGTAGAGTACAATGTGCCAGGGCCAGCAACACAAGTCTGTCACAAGACCATCCATCCATCCATCCATCCATCCATCCATCCATCCATCCATCCATCCATCCATCCATCCATCCATCCATCCATCCATCCATCCATCCATCTATCCATCCATCTATCCATCCATCCATCCATCCATCCATCCATCCATCCATCCATTATAAATCCCTTCTTAAAACCCATCTCTTCTCCGTGGCCTTTGACACCATCTGAGCTTTTGACTTTTAATCATTTTAATCACTTTTATTATCTGACTGAATGATTGTTTTGTTGCGTGTACAGCACTTTGGTCCCGTAGGTGTTTAAAGTGCTCTATAAATAAAGCTGGTATGATATGGTATTGTCTTTACCAACTTCTTCCTATCACAAGACCACGTCACAAAATGAGAAACAAAAAAAAAAGTCATATTTTTTTTCCTCTTCTTTAAATTTGCGTTCGGTGCTCATCATGCTGCCATGATCAGGTACAAATATAGAAAAAGTGTGAAAACAGCCTTAAAACTATAGTCTCGTCTTTTATTCAAAAGACTTCTTCCGTTTGAGGCGCTGCAATAAACTCAGTCTTATAAATAGCACCTTCTCATAGTGGATCAACCAGTTTGTCATTGACAGCCAAAACTGGCAAACTTCCCACCTCCGAAAAAAATTACATGCTAAAGAAGGACCCTCAGTCTAACCATTGATCGTTAGTGCACTGATGGTCACTTGCAATTCACAGAGGGCTGAGGGATACAATAACAGCATTGTAAGAGGGAACAGTTGGGCACGGAGGTCCCACCCGTTTATTTACTGTATTTATGTATTTATGAACCTTTATTTAACCAGGAAAATCTCGTTCAGGTCACAGATCTCTTGCAAGGGAGGCCTGGACCTGAAGGCAGTCTAACATGCATGTTTTTGGTCTGTGGGAGGAAACAGGAGTACCCGGAGAAAACCCACGCAAGCACGAGAACATGCAAACTCCACACAGAAAGACCCCAGGTCCAACCGGGGATTGAACACAGGACCTTCTTGCTGTGAGGCAACAGTACTAACCACTGAGCCGTCGTGCTGGTTTAATGATGGTCAAGTTCTCTTTACAAAGACGGCCTCCTTCACTCTTCTCTCAAACCAACATTCCTCTCTATCAAGGATGTGAACTTCTTTCAACAACCTAGCTCCATCTTATATTACAGATCTTATTGTTCCATATTTTCCTAACAGAGCACTTCGCTCTCAGGCTGCAGGTTTACTTGCGGTTCCTAGAGTTTCCAAAAGCAGAATGGGAGGAAGATCTTTCAGTTCTCAGGCTCCTCTCTTGTGGAAACTCCCAGTTTCTGCCCGTGAGGCTGACACACTGTCCAGTTTTAAGACTTGGCTCAAGTCTTTTCTTTCTGATAAATCCTATAGTTCATGCTGGCTTGGGTTTCCTGAGCTATTCCTTAGTTATGCTGTGGCTTCGACTGCTGGAGGACAAACTGACCACGTTTTTTAAAACTCTGCTCCTGTCTTTACTCGCTCTGCTCAACTTGTTTTGAATTTGTGATTATTTTTTCTATCCTTGACGTGTGTTTTTGTCTTTCAGGTTCTCCTGGTTTTGTTGGAAGTTTATTCCGTTTAAAAGGGAGTTGTTCCTTTCCACTGTTGCCATTGTGCTTGCTCAGGATGGGAGACTGCAATGAAGTGAAGATTCAAATGAGTCTGTTGGCTTCCTTAGATAGAAAACTTTACTAATTGGATTTTCTATGTATGTGAATGTTTCTGTAAAGTGCTCTGAGACAACTTCTGTGAATTGGCGCAATATGTTGAATTGAATCTTCATCCTTGAATGAGTGACCGCTGGCCTGGAGATGAAACTGCAGAATCCTGGCCTGATGATGTTGATCTTCTGTGCTGGGCCGTCCTTTTGGCCAGTGGCTGTTTAGTTTCCCCGATGTAAGACTGATCACCCTCTTGACACTGAACAACATACACAATATTACTCTGTGCCAGGGGAACGGATCTTTGGGATGAACCGGTCTTTAATGTATTTTGGGGTTTAAAAACCACTGGGACGTTTTGTTGAGAAAATAAACGTCTAAATTTCTCTGATACCCCCTCAACATACGGAATGACCACTGGTCTGGGTCTGGGTTCCTCCTTCTCACCTGATGGCTGACTGGAGTCCAGTTTGGGTTTCTTCTCTGCTTTCAGGAAGACCCAGTTAGGATATCCACATTGCTCTAGAGCCTGTCTTGTGTGGGATTTCACCTTCTGGTTCCTGAGTTAGTGGGGACGCTGTCTGCTCTGTGGTACAGAGTCCTGATGACTCCTAACTTGTGATCCAGAGGGTGATGGGAGTCAAACCACAAGTACTGGTCTGTGTGGGTGGGTTTGCGGTACACCTCGGCAAACTGAGGTAAATTAACGTTAACATGCTTCTGCATTGTTTGATGTTGTGTTTGTACACAGCTGAAACATGTAGATGGAAATATTCTGATTTAATTGTTGAAAACTCTGAAGCTTCAGACTTTTAGAGCAAGATGGGGTAAAGGTGCACTTTAATGTTCTGACCACCAGGGGGCGCACGTGTTTAAGACTAACAGGATCAGCATGGCCTCAGAAGGAAAGTTCTCCATCAGAAAACAGATCAATCTTTATTCAATAACAAATACATATGTTTCTAAATCAGTTGCAATTTATCACATAAAAGCTGTTTTTGTTCCTGGCCTTAAATCTGTCACAGACATGAACACAGAGAGCCCATCACAGACACCTGCTGAGCTGCGCTCTGCGGGGTCCCGGCTCGGTTCAGACCCGGTCCAGAAGGCTGGGACCTCACAGGTGACACCGTGTTTGCTTTATCCCCCCTCCTGTTGAGGCCCTGCAGACACATGCAAATCAAACACAAACACTCAGGTGAAAATGAACTCCTTTTACATTTGGTTGAAAACTTTGTTTTGCTTCTTCGTTTCGAAATTAACAAAGAATTCCTGAAACGCGCTTTTTAAAATGTATTTATTTATTTATTATTTAGAAAATTACTTCGTTCCCAGAACAAAGAAGAATTAAAACTTGATTCTTGCTCTGTATTAAATGACTTCTTAAATTAATAAACTATTTATTATCAGCAACATCATCGTTCATTTTAGCTGATAAAAACGTTAATTTAAAGTTTGTACGCAATTTAATTAAACTCATCTTTATGTTTTTTATATTAATTAATTAATTAATTTATTTAATTACGCGTAGATATTCATCTTTAAGAATTACCAGTTAAGCTGCAAACTCTAAAACTTAGTTAATTATTTACATTTATTAGCATTTATAAACGCTTTAATAAAATTTAAATATATTTATTTATATATATATATATTTAGGTTTTAAAGACAATAAAACAAGTCTAGATTTTGCTTTTTTTATTAAGACCATCTGCTCTCACATACAGATTCATATTTTTTAACACGTTTAATTCAACTTTATTTTTATTAACAAAAAATGTTTGTTTGTTTTTTTCTGGCAGATTTGAAACATAAAGGAGTTCAAATGCGGTGATATTATTTTAATAAATAAAATTATTTAGGTCAAATTAAATCTAAAGAAACAAAATCCTTTTTTAACTAAATGTAAAAATGATTTAAAATCAAACGCAAATGAAATTTTGTCGTTATTTTTAATTTATTTATTGAAAAGTGAATCAAATATCAATTAATCTGCCTATATATATATATATATATATATATA